TGCAAGTAACAACAAAGTAATTATTTCTGTACTTGCAAATTATGCATTCCTTGAGCTTTTATTTTACCTCATAATCAAAGCATCCTTTGAAAGATATTGCACCACTTTCTTGGATGTAGAATTCCACATTTTTAGTTGTTGGAGTGACAGAAATGATTTTGTAATCAATGGTGGAATTCGGAGTTCCTGGTGCGTCCTTATCAATTGCTAAAACACCTACAATAAAACCACCTGCAAACAGACAATATAAAGAGCATGACTTCATTTCTTTAAGGAATATTTATTCTGAAAATTTAAATCTATTATTTGCTCATCGTCATGTTGTTCCACTTCCATATAACTTTTTTTTCAAAATGAGAAAATCTAAATAGTCTACTAGTCACTCTTTTCCATACGATTACAATAAATTGGAACTAATTATGCTTCAAAAATGATGCAAAAGCACTTTCCTGTATCTCAAACAATAGTACAAACAACACTAAGGTCATGGATTTGAGTTTTTACCGCACGCATTATGATAGACCTATAGAAAAAAATATTTGACTCTTTTTCTTTTCGAAGAATGGCTTAACTTGAAGTGCTGGCAAAAATTTTTTTGAAAAAAATATTATTTTAAGGTACTTTATGATATGTTGCCATACGGCAACAGCATACAATAGTGGAAGTGACACGGACTGGTCCTTGTTTGTTACTGACGTTTTAGTTTGCTTTCAGCAACTACCGGCAAGAGACGGCAGTCTGTCAGAAATCTCGCCACAGAAAAAAACTGCATGTCATGTGACTTACCCAAAGCACATCATTGGCTAAACTAAGGTCTTCTCTTTCCAACAAAAAAAACGAGAATGTTCTCTTAAAGAGACAGTGGCAAGGAAATGAACACAAAGACCATGTTGCCATATGGTCACACCATGCGGTAGAGGGTTAACTGCTGTTACTGAATCAATGAAATAGTAATGTGAAGTGGATCAAGCAATTAATTGAAAAGATCTGAAGCCTTAAAATAAGACAATGTCACTTATTTTGGGGATATCACGATTTTCAATGAATAACAAATTAAAGTTTTGTCACACAAAGATTGTATGGCATCAAAAAAACTGAAATATAGCACACAAGTCATAAAAAACACCTTCATATTACTTTCATGGTGCTCTTTTTTTAAAACCATTTATTGTAATTGTATGGAAAAAAGCAACCAATTTGTTTAAAATGTTGTGTTCAACAGAAGAAAGTAAGTTGTATGGGTTTGAAATTACATAAATGTGAGTGAATAATACATTTTTCCCTCTAAAATCTCAGGGAAATAAACATATCACATATTTGCCATTACTAATTCATATTTTGAGGGCTTATAAATAAAAGCTTATTCATAAAAGCAACATTTCTTTTTATAGTGTTTCTTCAACAATAGGAGTATTTTTTCATGAAGGTTAATATAATAATTATAGTTTCAGATTTTTTATTTTATTTTAATCATATTAATTTTCCGATAACTTTAATGAATAGACTTAGACTCATAATCTTAAAATATGTAAATCAATAATCATTTTCATTATTTATGCAATCTTGGTGATTCAGAACAAATATATTTCAGCAATTCTTGTGTGAAATTACCATAAAATATTACAGTTGTCCCATATAAGACATAATGTTTAAAAACAGAATTGAATATTTTTATTGAATGTAATTTCTGATAAAGATGTAATTTTGTCAGATTATGCAAAAAAATCAAACAAGCTAATTGTATTTGTGTGAATTTATGATGCTACAAGATTCAACTGTTTAGAAACTAATTTCCACCACTATCATATTCTGAATGAATGGTGATTTACAATGTGGCAGAAATTACAAATGGTTTCAGAAAAATTACTAAAACGGCAGTGAAGCTGGTAGACACATTAAACTAGTCATAATGTTAAAAAAGCAACAACTCTGTTTTAAGGGAGTTTAACTTCTAATGTATTTACATGTTTATATTTATATTCATATAAATGATATCATATATAAATATATTTAATATATAAACGTAACATAGTTTTCTTAAATATATGCATGCATGTGTGTGTATTTATATGCCTACATTAAAATAAAATGGTAAGACACCAGTTTGCAATATCAAGCAGCAAAACGAGCTGTTTTGTGCAGCTAAAAATAGCTGGAAGCCAATGACACCGGAAGCCAGAAACATAAAATTTTCCCACTCTTACGGGAAAAATAAGGTGGATAGGATTTACATATTAATTTGCAGTAAATCAAACCTGAAATACACCTAATTACAGTTGATGAAAATTCAACAGTTCGGCAATGATACTGACCTTGTTTTGCTGCTTCGTTTACAGTGACATCATAAACCCTCCTCTGGAATACCGGCGGGTTGTCGTTGATGTCCAGTATGTTGACTTCCATGCCAAGTTGTGTATCTATGGCCAAGTTGGACTTATTTCTTGCTTGGAAGGTCAGCTTTGAAAGGATGATGAAATTAGTTCCAACCTATGCCCTTAATATTACTTACTCACTTAATCCTCTTCATCCCAAGTGAGACATAAGACCTTAATAAAACCTATATCTAATAAAAAATCTGATTCCTCTTACCATCAGAACACTGTACTGCTCATAGTCGACTTTCCGGTGGACTTTAATGATCCCTGTGAGCGAATCAATAGACAGGACACCCTTTGGATCTTCATCCACACCTTTTCCTTTTAACCTGAACTCCACTAAATAGCTACGGTCCAGTTTAATCTAGAATTTGGGATAAAAAGAAATTTTATCAGGATGGCAAGTTTTACGACATCATGGCACGTTGTTTGCGATACTTGATAATTTGTCATTAAACTGATACTTTTTATGCAAAGAAATTTAATGTAGTTTTTAATAAGATATTTCATGTATACAGTGAAATATTATTAATAACAATTAGAATTGCTTTCTATTTTAATATATTTAAATGGGTCATATGATGTGATTAAAATTTTTCCTTTCTCTTTGAAGTGTTACAAGCTCTTGGTTCATAAAGAAGATCTGTAAAGTTGCAAAGACTAAAGTCTCAAATCCAAAGAGATATTCTTTATAAAAGTTAAGAGTCAACCACGCCTACCTAAAACGGCTCGTTCTAACACGTCCCCACATGTCTACGTCATTGCATAACGCCGCCCAAATGTTCAATCAAAGAAAGAAGGCGTAACTTTTATTCTCGCAGTAGTATTGTTGCTGCCGCCATATCATGAAGGCGCTGTGTGTTCTTCCTTGAATCCGCCGGCCGCGCCGTTCTCAAGCCCTCCGGCCTCCGCTCACTCTAGCCCGCCATGTGTTCATAATCTTATTTTTAGCAACATCATATGACCCCTTTAAAAATGCAACTTATTCCTTTGTGGGTAAAGCTGATTTTTCAGCATTACTCCAATCTTCAGTGTCAAATGTGACCCTGGACCACAAAACCAGTCTTAAGTCGCTGGCATTTCGAAAAAGTGACCCTTATGGCTGGTTTTGTGGTTCAGGGTCACAAATGATCCTTCAGAAATCATTCTAATATTTGATGTTCAAGAAATATTTGAAAATGGTTTAATATTTTTTTTTCTGAAATGATGCATGATGATGCATGCAAAATATTTTTTATTTCATGAAATTTTTGCAACAATGTAGAGTTTGTTACTCTATTTTTTGATCAAAAGAGAGAAAGAAAGAAAGAAAGAAAGAAAAATAAAAGAATAAAGCACAAAGTAAATTTATACTAAATAAATAAATTTGTCTTTCTGTCATTCCAATTCAACATCCTCTGGTTTGTGGCTAATTTAATTCAAATTTACATACATGCATTTGAAGGGAGTTTTAATTGAGAATTTTGCCCAACCAAGCCAGCAACAAACCCAGATCTTTAACCAAAATGATATACCACTCCAAGTTTTGAATTATTTTATTATTTGATACCCGCAGTGCATTAGAGAGAAATGGTATTTACCTGCCCCAGTTCATAGGGGAAAGGCCCCGGGTGTTCCTCCACAATGTCAAACGAGTCTATAATCCAGGACCGTTTATGGCGTTTGAGAGGCTCTGTGCTGCACAGACAGATCATTCCCTTTCAACAGAAACAGTGTGTGTTATTTACTGTATGGCTTTAAACATGTTACATCAATTAAGAGCAGAAAAAAACCTAAAGCTAAGAGAAATGTTTCAAATGCATCTCACCAAGATGATGTGAACATGATGCAACAGCTTTGCTTTACCACTAAAAATGCCATTCAGTCATTAACATTTGGATCATTTTTAGTCATTTCTGCCATGAAGGCAGGGTCAAAGGACATTTTTTTTTTGCGTACTTTTTGAGACATTTTGAACTTGCGATGTATATTTACCTGAGAGAATTCAAAGTTGTGAAACAGGTTTGGGAAAAGCTATATACTAGACTCTCCTTTGTTGCTGTTTTTCTCAACTGACCCCCAGAAAGAACTCGATAGGCACTCATGTTACAGGAATACACATTTAAAAGCACAGACTTCCATAAAATGTCTAATAATAATTATTATAGTATTATTATATTGATAATAATTATATTATTAATTCTACTGCACAGATTACTGATTAAGATCGAGGTCCCAATAATCACAATATCAGAACAAATACAGAGAAATCAACAATGAATCAATGGTTTTGACTACATTTAATTACATTTATTTTTTTATTTTTTATCAATATGACTGAATTAGGTATGGTAGAAATAAATTAGAATTAGGTTAAGGTAGAAATAACTCTTTAAGATAAAAAAAATGAAATGTTTACCATTACTGTCCTTTGCAAAACAATGTAAAAAGTAACTTACAGCAAACAAGCAACAGAATAAAAATACATTTTTGATTTAAAATGACACCGAATCTTGAATTAACCTATTGGATAACTGTGACAACAATACAGACTGTACTTACCACAAGCACCAAGTAGCTGAACATCATTGTAGCCACAATAATTTCAGTTCATAATATGAGGTAGAGAGCTTTAACACTGGAAGCTCATGAACTCTCACGCTCAGACCTGCTTCTGCCTTGAACTGAGAGCACAATCACACCTGTGTAGTGCAGAAGTACAGGTAACTACACCCTGGGGCAGTGTTAGTTATACAGTGTACACATGAAGACATTATAGAGAGATACATTACACACATTTCTATAGGAGAAGAGAGCAAGAGAGATAAAAGAAGAATTATACCACAAAAAAACAGTATTTTTAATCAGATGTTTTGCAGTACAAATCTCTAAATATTCTTACAAGAAGTTAAAATTATTTGTGACCTAAATAAGACAAGTAAGACTGTGTAAAATGACATTTTCCAAAAAAAAAAAAAAAACGTAAAAATAAGCTTATATTTCTAGCCCATTCTTGTTTTAAGTATAAAAAAAGTTGTTAGACTTTTTTTTAAACAATTCAAAAAATGGCAGTAGGTTAAGAAGATTAAATTAGTGTAAAGACAAATACGCAAAACAAATTAAAGTTATTTTGTTTAAAGAATTCAAATCTTTTTACTGGAGATATTTGTAGTGCATTTATTCATTAGGGCCTTTCGCACCGCTTTAGTTCCAGAACTAAATGTACAGTACTAAAGTACTGGGACGATTGCTAATTTGGTTCTCGAAAAAGGCAGTCTTGTACTAAAATCGCGCCCAGTTCCGGCGGTGCGAAAACGCCAAAAAGTGGGTAGTTCCACAATTAGTTCTGGTACTATGAAAAGGTTCCCGCGGTGCGAAAGGCCCTATTGATAGCCATCAACATGGATTCAAATTAGATCCAAACCCAAATTATAGTTCATGAACTGCAGAAGCAGTCACTCAAGCCCAACCAGGTGTCAGTCAATCACCAGTTCAAAGGTCACACATACCTGCGATCGCACCTACAACAGCAAGTGCCTAACCACGAGCTGACCACCCTTATTTCACTTCAATGACAGGTAGTTCACACAAAAATTAAATACAACTGCAAATAGTCACCCTACCTGTCAAGCTCCAAAAAAAGGCATCATGAGCTTTTGCACCATATGTACTCTGAAGTCATGCAAACACGCATGTTGTGTTCCCTTTCGATACTTCACTCGTACTACGTCTTGCTAGATTACGGGAACGAGTACTGCGTTGCTTGCCGTGCTATGTAGCGTCGCTTCAGTCTAAGTAAACCTGAGAATCCTATGGCTAGCGCCCGCTTATATAGCCAGATGCCCCGCCCATTCTGGCGGGCTTTGGCAGGCTTCGTCGCCATAGGCTCGTGCAGCTCCGCTGCCGCGCCATTGGTTCGTTTTTAAAGCCCTGCACGAACCAATGGCCGTGCAGTTTCACTGCGTGAATGAAATAGGCTTCAGTTCAGGAGAAAAAAGGTTTTTTTCCCATATGCGTCTAGCAAGACGCAGTACTCGTTCCCGTATCTCAGGGAACCGAGGTTACGTTAGTAACCGAGTACGTTTATTGATGTCAAACCTGTTCAGTGCCCACTTTGTGAAATCATAAATGGATGCAAATTACATGTCTACATATTTCTACTTTTGATATTCCACAATTTTATTGTTTTATAAGAAGCATAAATTCTTTATTGGATCCTTTACAAGCAGCACTCCTAGCCCTCCATGCGTGTCACTGACTGACATGAAAATCTTCTTATCATCTCAAATGTAAGCCTTTATATAATCTATAACTATAACTTTTCAAAATACCATTTTGACAGCTCAGTAAGCCTTTTCTCTTTTGTTTGTCTTTGAATAACATTTGCTTGAATGACAACGCACTACATTCCTGTTATGAGGGTTTCGGTCGTGGCAGCAAAGAGCAATCACATTAACAGACTGCTGTTCAGGAACGTACTGTCACTTTTTACAAGTACACCTGCTAAGCCTGTCATTTTTACAGGCCTAAATGTGCAGTCTGGGGTGAGTTTAAAATGATGTGGAAATGTTTGGCATTTGTTAACTGGGTTGCATGTTGCAACTTCACACATTAGAGTCACAAAGAAAAATGCTTCCAGGCCATCCAAAACGTTTGGACTCCACAGACTGAATTTGTGACCCATGATAGAAAGAACATTTTGAACCAACAACTTTCTTACTATTCTAGTAACTGTTATTAACAAATTAATAAGTTATAAAACATTCATTAACCCTCTGCTAGCTAAATGCTACTTGTTTGTGCCTCCCAGAAAACTACTAAGGAGTTATATGCAGATTCATAATTAATGTGAAAACCTTTTTTTTTTTTTTTACTTTGTCACTTTGGATGAAAGTGTCTGCTAAATGATTAAATGTACAGCAAGTGTCAGAAATTCTCAAGGACACGTCATTTCTCCTCAATCCATCCTCTTCTACATCAGTGTGGCCAAGAGCTGGAAAAGAAATGGCTGTTTAATTTACTTGGACAAAACTACAAAAGTACAAAGCTACAAAAGCTACATGGCTTCAACATACAATGAGTGACTGCTTCTTATGACACTTCTATGAAAAATGTTTAACAATAAGAAGGTTTTTACTAGAAAGCAGTCTGTTTTCTCTTTAATGACAATGCTAAAGTGCTCTAAGCCATTTTATGCAACAGCACATAGAAAACGTTCCTACTACCTGACAGACGACACTGAAATTGGTCTCCTGAGAAATCACACCTGTCTCTGTGAAACCCTTCAAGCCCTTTTCACACTGTTTAAATTGCTGCCGTAAATTTTTTTTCTTCTTTGAAGCAGTTAAGCGCAAAACCCCACCTCACAGCCGATTCTAAAGAAACCCATGTCAATACACAATTACAAGTCATCTGTACCAGTTCATCTCAATGGCAGTTCATTATCTGATGGCATTGCTAAAGGGAACCAGGCTTTTTTTTTTTGATTCCCTGAAAATTTGAAGCGGCAGCTGAAAACTCATCTCTTTCGACACTCTTTGACTTCATCCTAAATTTTAAAAAAATAAAATAAAAATTGTCTTCTCTTTATTTATTCCTTCCCTTTCTAGCTTGTACTTATTTGAACAATGCCTGAAACTTGGTATTACGAGCACTTCCTGTGTCTGTTTGCCTCTTTAAGATGAATCGCTTGATGATTTCCCCAATAAGTCGTTTTGGATAAAAGCATCTGCAAAATGAGTAAATGTAAATGTTTAAATGCTCAGACATGACTAAAAAACATCTACTATACTATAATGAAATATTTGTTATTTATGTTTCTTGCAAAAAATTTCTTCAGAATACACAGTTTAACTGGCTATTAATGGAATCTATACCAACCAGGGATTAACAGGGCCATTATAACCAGCCAAACCAAACCTTGGTCTTTGCACACTATTACTAGTAGTGTGTGTGTGTGTGTGTGTGTGTGTGTGTGTGTGTGTACTTGTCTATGCTACATTGTGGGGAACAAATGTCCCCACAAGGATAGTAAACCCTGAAATTTTAAGAGGGGAAAAAATATTAAAAATAGTAAATGATGTTTATCTGAAAGTGTAACAATGCAAACAGGTTTTCTGTAAATGGTAGGTTTAGGGTTAGAGTTGGGTTAATATAAAAGTAATAGAAGTCTATGGAAAGTCCCCACAATTCACAGAAACAAACGTGTGTGCGTGTCTTAATCCCCTAAAACAGTTAAACACAAACCACACCAAGCAAACAATTCTAAATATTTCATTGATCATGTCTAGGGTTTGGAATTAACTTTTTCACTCACCAGCCAAATTGGCTATACCGTATCTTAAGTTACCAGCCATGCAGAACTTCTACAAGCAATATACCAAAAATACCAGAAATAAACTAGATTATAAACAGAAATCACTGGTTTAGATTTATATTTTTAATATATTTATTATTAAATCTGATTCAGAATCATTGAATTGAAAGCTTTCCGTCAATCATTGTTTGTGGATTCAATAAAACTAAATTTAAAAAAATTATTTTTGTTTATTTGTTTTTGTAATTACAACGATTGATCTGGACACTTTAAATCTTTTATTGGAATCAAAGCAGAAGATAAAAAGACAACCGTTTCGGCTATCTGCCTTCGTCAGTGTGCTTTGTTTTTGTAATTAAATAAAGTATATGAATTTTAAAACATGGCACATCTTGTCCAAATGCATAACACTCTTTATGCTTTGTTGTTCTAATGTTGGAGGCTCCTGGTTGGAGTACATCATTTATGAACTATAACCCACCAAACTGACTAGTGAGTTGATATGTTTTACCGTCATAGGGTTTCCACCCGCATTTGACAGGTTTGTGGGTGTTATTTTCAAACCTTGTTCATGTCAGTAACTGCACTGATTTCCTGCACAATGTTAAAACTATACTAACCTTCTAAAACTTCTCTTGCCAGGTGACCTCAAGAATGAGCTGACCAATGAAATTGGCTGTGGGATGGGTTTGCACTTTTCTGGTTTGAGGAAATAAATTCATGCTATAGCTAGTGTTTTAGCTTGACTATAGTATCCAGGTGTATCAGGCAAATCACTGTCTACACTTCAGCGCTCACTGCATCTCACCACTGTTCATTTGCATAAAGTCGAACTCTTGTCAACCTTATCAATAGTCAATCACACAGTATTACTTATTTTGCCAGAAACTAATTACTCTGTGGCTGGCATGCAAGAACATATCCAAGGTTGCTACGTATGCTGTGTCATTGTTTATCTCCAGATGCAAATTCAACATATTCACTTCCATTTTGGCAAACGGTGGCTAATTCACATTCATAAGTTTTCATACAGTCTGTCTGCGCCCCACTGGTTAGGTTTAGAGGTGGACCTTCAAGTTTGCTTTTCTTTTAAAAATCGTAGGTTTTTGTGCGAACCACATTGTATGAATCATAATACAAAATTGCCAACTTGAAAACAGCTGATTTTTTCACGAGATCAGGTTAGTCCGCACTCCACATACTAAAAATATGATCTTATTGGCAGTAACTTTGTCACTTCCAGCAGTACTTTGCTTTCAGTGAGGATAGAAAAAGTACTACTTTGCATTCTACAGGAAACCTTTTAGGAAACAGTGTGCATGGTTAGACAACAATTTACTTTTTTTTTCCACTGCCAGCAATTTTCAACAACAAAGTGACATGAGGCAACGGAGACTGTCAGCAATGCTATGACGTTCTACTACAAATACCATAAGGGAATGCAGACAGTGGATCCTATCACCTACCACCTGATACTGTTGTTGGATACTGCAGTCAAGCAAGAACACCAACTAGCAACCTATAGAAAGCTGTTGACAGCTACTTAGACTAGTTTGGAGTATGTACCGGGAAGAGGGGGTGTCAGTGATCCTTCCTCTCCGCTGGCACTGAAGAAGACATCCAAGGCCTCCTGATCAGAGATGTCCATCAGGTCCATCTGCTCTAGCATATCAACGTTCACCTCCATTGATGAAATACTTCCTAAGGGAGCTGCAATAGGAGAATCAGACATAAGATACAAAGACTAAAAAGTTATTAGAAGTAAATATGGTGTATTTGGCTACTTATAATCTTGTGCATGTTTGTTTGTTTCATTACATGTCTTAGAATAAAGATCATGGTCTTTGGAAAAAATGGAAGTGAACTTGAAAAATAAAACAAGCCATATATGTATGTGTATATTTACATATATGTACATACATGTAAACATATGTATCAATAGTAGTGCTGTCAAACGATTAATCACATTCAAAATAAAAGTTTTTGTTTACATAATATATGTCAGTGTACTGTGTATATTTATTATGTATATACAAATACACACAAAGACAATATATATATTTTGAAAATATTTACATGTATATATTTATATTCATATAATTTATATTATATATACATATATTTAATATATAAACATAACATATTTTTCTTAAATATATACATGCATGTGTATTTATATATACATAATAAATATACACAGTACACACACATATAATATATAAAAAAAAACTTTTATTTTGGATGTGATTAATCACGATTAATCGCTTGACAGCACTAATTGATCGTTTATAATAGTTTTAAAAGACTTTTTAAGTAAAATACAGAAATTCTGTCAAAATGTAATATTTAAAAAATTGTTTTAACATTACAATTATACCAATAATAAAAAAATATATATAAAAAAATGAAAAGAGTCACCCATTTATGTGTGTGTTTAAACTCACGTCTCTTATAATCTATCTGCAGGTGTGCAGCGGAAAGGTAGACATCGGCATCGTGTTGAAACACCTCCTCAAAGAATCGTTGTCTCTCTCTCAGCCTCATTTGCTGGGTCGAATCTGCATCCGGGAATCTCTGCGCATGTTCTGTCTCAGCTACCAGCAACAACAGAGACAGTCACTTCACTTACGGTTTATATCAACATCCGTTAACAGAATATGTGTACACTTTCATGCAACAGTTAGTTAGTTCTAGTAGAATAATGAACAAGCTGCATTCTACAACCCCTATAAAAAAAAAACATAATAATAATAATAATAATAATAATAATTCCACCAGCAGGGGGCATAAGTTGCCACTTGAAATCTCTACACTCACTGAATGTTTTCAGTTTGCGCTTCCTTACATTCATATCTAACCCTAACCCTAACACGATTCATATGTGCATAACCTCATATCTTTTTAATACAAATGAAATTCAGACCTGTGGTTCGAAGTTTTTGTTGTTTCTCTAAATTAACAAAACGTCTTGAGTGGTGTACATTTCAGCCAATACAGTAACAAATAAGAGTGCCCGAATGAAAAGAGAAGATGAAAGTAACAAAATTAGAATGAGAACATGCTGTACTAAATGCTGCACTAAGACAAAATAAAGAAACATTTGTGGAATAAATGAGAATGTGTTAGAGATATTATGAACATCTTGTTGATTCAGTATGGCTGATTACTCACAGGGCTGCTAAACCTTCTTTACTTAAGCCTCATTTGACAAGCTAGAATGTAGTGTGCATTAGACTCTTCAGAATACAATTAAGTATAGGATGCCATACAAACATTTGTGTGTTTTTCTGACTGAGCTACGGTTCTGTAGGGACAAAATCACTAATACTTTGTCCCCAGAGTGCTTTCAACATCTTCAAAAGGGAAAAAAGGTTAAAAAACTGCACTAAAAGAAGTCACATCAAAACACATTTATTTATAATATCACAGTATTCTTTTTTTTTTTATATATATCTTTGTGTCATGTACACATATACTGACACCTTGAAACTATGGTGCCACTGCTTTATTTAATGGCTAGTAGTCAGTAAGATGTCCTGTTATTACGATAAACATATATTTGAAAACATGAAAGCAGGCAAACAGAGATATTAGTCATTGGTCTATATACAGAGACCTCTCAATGTGTGGTAGCTCATGCACAAGGATCTCCAAATAGACAATATGAGTCATCTGCCACCCTGACCCCAGGAACCTACCAATAAAAACCATGAACAACCAGTTCTGAGCAAAGCACTTCATTTCAGCTTTCATCAGATGCAGTACGGTAATATAATCACTTAATAGAGGCAGTATAGTAGACCAGATTCATTGTGTATTTTTTCATTACACAGATTCTCTACAGTACACACAAGCAACAATCGAGCTAATTATGGGTTGCCAGTATGACATGTTCAGCCTGACATTTGTGTTTCACTGTCCTTGAAAAGTGACACAGGAGCACACATCAGCTCAACTGAAATAACAGCCCTAAAGCTTGCACCGTGGCTGTAACGTGTTCGGAAATGGCATTCTTTTCCTTTCACAAGTCATTAATACATCCAGACTCACAGAGACAGTGTCCCGCAATTCAACCATAATTAGAAGGCACAGGCTGAGCCTGAAATAATTGGATCTGCCTTTTAAACCTGGTCTAAAATAGGAATAATGTAAAGATTATCTGGTGTGTGTGCTGCGAGAGCTGATGGCATTTTCAGCTGCTATCAGACGTGCTGTAGAACAGGTCCGAGAGGGATACATGTGAACACTGTCCCAGCATTTTCTGGACCACTGATTTTTTTCAAGACCAACAATATATAAGTTGCATATGTGATTTTTGTTGATAATCATATTTGATACCCCTTCATCAGGCTTTCACGAACCATATACAATGATATAAGATCATGTAGAGGTCATACTCATGGAGAAAAGAAACACCTCAGCTTTATTCAGAGACCTAAACAGAGCAAAAACAGTGCATGTGCTGGTACTTATATGGCCAACAAGAAATAGGAATTTCTGATAGCTTGTAATATAAATGTTTATAACAGTATAGCAGACTACTTATGCACTAATCTTACATTTACTTTTAAAAAAATAAGTAACAATTTCACACACAAAAAAGACAGATGTACAACCTGAAGGTGGACATTTTTAGAATTATAAAAGGCCTTTTATTTACTAAAATGTGTGGACAAGTTTTGATCATGTTTATAAATTAGAGGCCATACAATTTCACGCATTAAATATGATACAGTAGGCTTTATAAGGTTAAAGAACCAGTGCAACTTTAAAACAGACCAGGCATTCAGTACAGTGTTTATTAACCATATCTATAGGGTGTTGGAAAATGTACATTCACACAATATATATGAGTAACTTTCCAAAACAAACTGCCAACTCTTGTTTATATTATAGACAGTGTGTATATCATCCATCATCACCCATGTTTGAGAAAATGTCTCACATCGCTCCAAACCTGTATGCATTTCTTTCAATTGTGTAACACTTTCAAAGACATTTTTTAAAAAGTCTCTTTGTTTTAGTCCATTGAGGGTCATGAGGGTGAGTAAATGATGAACGATGAAAGATTAATTTTTGGGTGAACTACCCCTTTTAGACACTGCCAAAAAGAATGATCACAAATAGAATCCCTTTACTATCTAAATTCTGTTCCTAGGGTAGCAAAACCTTTTGGAGAGCCTGGGTAAGACTGTGATGACTGCATTTCCGTTTAAAGAATTCATGAGTCATCACATTTGACAGGCAAACCGCCACAGTAGGCAGTTGTGTAAGGTTTAGATGGGGTCATTCTCTCTCGCCTGGTGGCGGCAGTGAGGACGATGGGAGGCATCCAGGGGCCACAGCGCTGTCACTCTGAATAACTTACCAGATCTGCACTAGCTGACCACCACAGCCAGAAAGGGCAAAGGGGAAGCTGGATGTCCCATTTATGTTTCCATCCGACAGTGCTGTGTGACTCAGCACAGTGTGTGTAAGCAGGTGGCCAGTATATTGAAAAGGTAATACATATTTGTGATGGTTTACCTGCTACATAATCATTTTAATTCTCTTTTTGTAATGTGCTTACATTAGTTTTGTCTTTTTTTTTTTTATTTGCAGGAATGAGAGCGTGACATCAGAGGTTGTTGCAACATATAATTTAAAAAGTTTGCTAACTGTCAATTTCAATGAATCAATTCAACAAGCCAATCCATAAATATAAAAAATAAATATCTAATGCATAAATATCAAAGTTCGGGGACTGGTTAAATATTAAATGTTCTTGTCATTTGAGGAGTAACATAAAGCTTACATAATAAAAAGTGTTGGGAATGCATATGTGACTTATGACTTTAAGTTGTTTATTTGCCAAACAACTATAATTTTCTGCAAATCTATGCCAGTTACGAAGGGATTCGAATGAGCGGATCCACAACAGCTTTGGCGCCTATGCTATATTTCTATGAATCATCATTATTGTTGCACGTTCTCATAGGTTTGTTATTTTATGCGCAAAGAAAGCTGTCTGCAAATTGCATGCCCAAGCAGAAAAATGCACTGTTGCTGCGAAGACTGAAACTCACGTTGTATTTTATGCAAATGAATTCAATTAAATCAAATCCAATTTTTCAAATAAAAAATAACTGTATATTTTCATGTTTTCACATGAAAAACTTCTTACACTTTATGGGCCCTATCATACACCCGGCGCAATGCGGCGCAATGCGGCGCCAGGCGCGACACAAGTATTTTTTACTAGTTTTTTACTTTTTTTACTAGTTTTTTTACAGTTATCATTTTCACGTCCTGTGCCACGCTGTTTAAATAGCAAATGCATTTGCACCCATTTGTGCGCACATGGGCGTGCTGGTCTGAAAACGAGGTGTGTTCAGGCGCATTGTTGGCGAATTGCTATTTTGAGGCAATTGAAATAGACCGTGCCATTGACCAACTAAAACCTGGGGCCCTATCATACACCCGGTGCAATGCGGCGCCAGGTGCGACGCAAGTGCTTTTTGCTAGTTTCAGCCCGACGCAGTTGGCATTTTCTCGTCCTGTGCCAAGTTGTTTAAATGGCAAATGCATTTGCGCCCATTTGTGCGCCCATGGGTGTGTTGGTCTGAAAACGAGGTGTGTTCAGGCGCATTGCTGGCGTGTTGCTATTTTGAGGCAACTGAAATAGACTGCGCCATTGACCAACAAAAACCTGACCAAAGTCAATGGCGCAGTAGTTTTTTGTTATTTAAAGAGCGCGTTAGTATAGGTGGGTCCACACACACAGGGACGCACAGTAGCACACAAACATGCCAAATATTAAAAATTATGCACCGTGCGCTTTAGACCATGCGCTTAGATCGTTAAAATAGGGCCCCTGGTCTAAAGTCAATGGCGCAGTAGTTTTTTTGTTATTTAAAGAGCGCGTTTGTATAGGCGGGTACACAACACGCGTACACTCTGCTTATTACACACACAGGGACGCGCAGCAGCACACAAACATGCCAAATATAAAAAATTTAAGGATTACAATGTAAAAGATTATTATTGTGTAGGCTACATAAATATAAAAATACCTACATGTCATAATGGATAGTCATTGCATGTATCAGAGTTAGGCTACCTAGTTCTTTTTAGCAACATCATATGACCCCTTTAAGAGAATAGGGACAACACTTTTAGACCACGCGCCGGGCGAGCCGACCATTTTCCCCGTCGTTAAACTAGCAAAGGTGGATTCAGACATGCCCTGAGCGCACCTGCGCCGTGCGCTTTAGAGCTTGCACTTAGATCGTTAAAATAGGGCCCTATGACTTCTTTAACTTCTTACACTTTATAGACAAAGTATGTTGAAGGTACATATTATTTGGGAACATGCATGAGCAAAAATAATCAAATAGAAAATTTCAGAGTATTGTATTGTTCCATTTGATTTTCCAATGCTTGAAAATCTTGCATGTGTTTTGTGTGTGAGTGTACCTGGCATTTCCTACATTATCGGCCAAATGTCACCACAAAGATAGTAATACCAGTAAATCTTGACCTTGTGGGAACATTTTTTTCAGTCCCCATGAGGAAAACATGTTATAAATCATACAGAATTAGGTTTTTTGGAAAA